TTTGTGGATAGTATCTTTTCGTTAGACCTCTCCAAAACTTTTTGGAGAGGTTTTGGCTTATTCAGCCTAGGTGTTGTAATTGTTATGTTTTCCAGGATTGACCCTGATTTTATTGCGAGATGATCTTCTTTGTCTCATGTCACCATTTTTATTGCGAAATCTACTTTACATAATATTAGTATTGCCATTTCAACTCTGTTTACCCCTCGCATTCCCCGTCTTGTTCCAGTTTTTAAATTTCAATTTCTACATATCGCTGCGTTTGAATTATGTAACCTGTAAGTAGCATATGGTTACATCGTGGTTTTTTTTTTCTTTTTGGGTCACACCCAGCAATGCTCAGGGGTTACTCCTGGCTTTGCCCTCAGGAATTACTCCTGGCGGTGCTTGGGGCACCATAAGGGATGATTGAACCCGGGTGGGCCGCATGCAAGGCTAACGCCCACTGTGCTATCTCTCCGGCCCTCGTGGTTCTTTTTTAATATGCTGATCTCTGACTTTAAATTGGAATGATCAGTGTATCTACTTGATTTTAGTTTTGGTTTGGGGCCCACACCCGAGGTGTTCAGAGGCTACTCCAAATGTGGGGCTTCGGGGATCCCTCCCAGCAGCGTCAGAGGGACTGCGCGGTCCAGAGACCACACCTGGGAGCTGAAATGCAGTGGACACCGCCCTCCCGGTGTAGACACACCCCGAAGTGCGCACCACAGTCAGGGGCTCCAGACACGGGTGCGGGGTGTAGAGCCAACAGCCGGGCAACAACGCAGGGCAGAGACCCCTCCAGAGATGCCACTACTTGTCTATGTGCATAAGGGACCAGGATGCCGCCCCACGAGGCCGGGTAACTGGCCTGATGTCCGTTAAGGGTCCGCGCTTGGCAGTTGTGCACGTGACATCACGCTGACTTTGAGGGGGGCGGGGTAGGAAAGCCTTGAAGGATTCTGGGAGACGTTGGAGGGCTATCGTACCGCGAGACTGGGCACGGGGCAGACTGCAAGAGGGCCCAGGAGCTCCTGCAAGAGAGCCAAGCAACGGACTGCTGAGGGTTCCTGGGAGCTCCGGCCCTTTCACGCGAGCCTCAGTGCTGGCCCTCAAAATCAGCGCTGGTGGAAGGAGTCCTCTCGATTTTAAAATGAGAAATGCCCGTCCCACGCAGCTATCGTGAGCATTTTGGAGCGGGCTGAGGAAAAGACACTAGCCCCAAATGGGGGCAATTACTATTATGATTTTGGGGCTCAGTAGCAGTTGCAAAGGTCCCATAAAAGAACAATCCTGGCAAAAAAAAAACTCTAGACCCTATAAACATTCTTAGAAAGTACATGTCTCTGACTGTATTCAGAGTTTCCCCCAAAGCATTTTTATACTTAGAGTATTACTGTGGAAAAACAGTATTTCTCTTACAGCATTTGTTTAACACTTGGAGTTTACTATGAATTCTCATGCAACTCCTTTTAAATTCATATTCTTGTTCTTGTTTTTTTTTTTCAGGGACAAAACACTTTCTAAGTACCAACAAAAGTCCCTTTCAGAGAATGTTCACTAGGAGGAATGCTCCAAATCATTCCCCTCTTCCCACAAACCCTACTTTCTGTAGTAGCTCTGCTTCTGCAATATTCAAGAGGAGAAATGTCTGCCATGAGATTTGGTCAAGCTCCTTTGAATCTGAAACACCTCCCTGCCTGTATTCTTACTGCAAAACAAAAAACAAACCCACAAACATGCTTCCACATCATTGGACATCAACGATGGAAGTAGATGAAGGGGAAGATTAGAAGATGAAAGTAAGGATCAACAAGTCTCTTTAGGGGGCTGGAGCGATAGCACAGCAGGTAGGGCGTTTGCCTTGCACGTGGCCGACCCAGGTTCGATTCCCAGTATCCCATATGGTTCCCCGTGCACCGCGAGGAGTTATACCTAAGTGCAGAACCAGGAGTAACCCCTGTGCAATGCCCGGGTGTGACCCAAAAAAGCAAAAAAAAAAAAAAACCCAAAACAAGTCTTTTTAAAGATTGCTACATAGATTCCATAAAGATAATATCACACACAATGATAATATGGATTCTAAAGAGCATGCATATGTGACGCCGTAAGGAAATACACTACACTTATTAAGGACTAGAGTGGCAATACAGGGGATAAGAGTCGACTTGCATATGACTGACTCTGGTTTAATCTCTGGCGCCATATGTTCCCAAGGTAATACAGGGAGTGATACTTGAGCACAGAGCCAGGTTTGCAATGCTGGAAATGACCCCCAAAAAAACTAAATCGTGAAGAATTAACTAAATAACAAAAAAAAATCACTGAGAATATGAAGATGTGATTTCTCCTTCAAAGCTTTGGCTTCCTATGTGGATCAGAGATTATGTTCTGAATTTTACTAAGAAGAAGTAGACTTTGTTGAAGTAGGTCAACAGGGAGTGAGAATTTAAAGAGGTTTGAGGGCCACACAACTAGACTGGTACTAGATTGGTGAGTAAAACATTGAGGTACAGTGAAGAGCAAGTTAAACCTGTGTGCTGAGAATCTGGAAAGTTGCTAGAAGAGGCCATGTCAGCTGTGCTACCAACTGACCAGTTTGAAGGAAAGCTCTGGTTCTGGCCGTCCAATCAGAGCCCTTCACGGAATGTTTCCCCAGCCAGGCCCTCCTGGCCCTCCCCTCCCCCACGGTGGAATGTCTTGGGTCCGACATTCTGAGGTTTGAATTCAAACTTCACCCTCACCCACTTGGATCCTGAGCATCTGCGTGAGCAGTTAACCCTCTGATCCTGGTCCTGACTTTTGCCATTGTGAAGGCTGATAAGCTGCGGGGGCCCTGGCCTCATCTACATGAACGATGTCAGAAACAGGTAAGCCTGTGAGGGTGTACTTGTATGTGGTGTGTGTGGGTTTGAGAGGAAGTCTCAACCAACCTTAGATCCTCGGGATTCAAAGGGTCACACTCACTGGGGACTCCATCTTGTGAAGGTGTAAGAAGGGAGAGAGCCCTGGGCTACATGGATGTCTCACCTGTATATTGGGGAGAGCCCAGAAGAGCCTGAGCGGGTAGTCAGGTTTGGAGATAATAACAATAATCGTTATTATTTATAATTATTTGTTCTGTCCATGGAGGTGGGTCAGACTGATTCAGGGGAGATTCAGAGTAAGGCAGCAGGCACATTGCTTCTTCATGTATGTGTCTGTGCATGATGGAGGGAACGGAGCAGTTTTTCATGTGTTTGTAGGAGCCTTGGTGGCTGAGTCATGATTTTAATGGTGACATAGGGAAGGCCCAAGGATGCTGAGCCGCATGACATTGCCTCAACCCCACTGTGACTGTCTAAAGTATCTCAGCTAGGGTGAGCTAGACCTGATGGTGTGTAGTGTGTCCTGTGCCCATCACCGGGAGTGTGCAGTGTGTCCTGTGTGTCTGTCACTGGGAGTGTGTAGTGTGTCCTGTGTCTGTCACTTGGAGACCTGCTGGGGGCATCTCAGCAGAGATGGTCTGAGCCAGAAAATGTTTGAGACTGTTTGTGTCCAGTTCTGCCATGAAATGTCCTCTCCGGAGCCGGGGCCTGACTCTCTCTCACTCCTCCCTTGGCCCAGGCAGCTGTCCTGGGTGGGCAGGGCTGGCAGACAGGCAACTTCAGCCTAGTTAGTAGGACTTGAAATTCCGAGTTGCTCTGGATTGTTCTCCCTTTAGAGGAAATTCACTCTTCCTGTCTAGCATCTCGTGGTGCAGTCCCAGCCTGCGTTTCAGCACTGAGGGAAAGACTGATTGAATTTCACATTCTCCGTCACAGACAGGGAACGTGTGTGTGTGTGTGTTTGTGTGTGTATGTGTGTCTGTGTGTGTGAGAGAGAGAAAGAGAGAGAGAGAGACAGACAGACAGACAGAGAGAGAGAGAGACAGAGAGACAGGCAGAGAGAGAGACAGCGAGAGAGCCAGTGGGGCGTTGGGGGGCTGATTTTCCCAAGGAAACTCTGTGAAGGCCAATTTGTTAGAGAGCAGGTGGAGTGTAACAAGGCATAAAGACCATCTTCGGCAGTAGCAGGAATGTCAGGCCGCTGTCCTGACCATGATGTCCACAGGCTCTGGGTTCTCTCCTGCTACGCTCTCCTAGGCTCCTCAGCGCATGGATGGCTGCAGACGACATTGTCTCTCCTGGCAGCTGGCTAATGCCTGGTGTTTAGTGGCCCGTGTCTGTCCCTGGGAGCTTGTGGCAGGAGATCCACAGACAGTGTCACTTCATGTCCGATCTAACATGACAAGCAGTTCCAAGGAGTGTGATGGTGTATTCTCTGGCCTTTTCCATCCCTGCTGCCATCATGGGAACCCAGGGCCCCAGAACCACTTTATAGATCCCTCTCCTGTCAAAGGGACTTCTGAGGTCAGGAGTGACTCGGTGTCTGGGACAGTGTGGCAGTACCAGCCAGTGTGAAGAGTTTGCTGTGGGTCTGATAGCACAGGGCCGGGCAGTGAGTGGTGTGCACGTATCTGAGCCCTGGGCTCTTCCTGAGTAGGAAACATCCCCGAAGAGTCTCGTCTCCTTAGTCTGGGAAGCAGGAGGGTCAGCACTGAGCCCCAGAAACTGCCTCTCCCAGCACAGTGTTTTAGGCTCAGGGTCATGATGAATAAGAATCCAGCCGGCAGGTGAGGAATTCCACCTGGGGTCGGGGACCGAACGCTGAGGACACTGCGTGCTGCCCTGTGCCTTGTAAAAGGGCCTTAATAGGGACCATCAGGACTGATGGACACTGGGGAGTAGAGGGACACGGGCTGCTACGCCTGTACATTCTCCCTCTCATCCCTCCTTCCTTCCATTTCCACAGCGTCTCCAGTGCTGACCCCGGAGATGACCATGGACCTTGGGGTCTCTGGCTCTGCTTTCGGCGACTTCTTGCCCTTCCTCAATCCAGGACTCCCCCAGTCACCACCCTGGGAGCTGATCCAGACGCCCCCTCTGGTGACCTCGGCCATTGCTCCTCACAACCCTCTGGTGCTGTCACCTTTCCCCACAATGCCCGTGGTGGCAGGAACTGCTGGCCATGGCCCCTGCGACCCTGGACCTTGCAAGGTCATCATCCAGGTCAGTTCTGAAGGGAAGATTCTGGAGTCAGCCCAGAACCAGTCTGTCACCCAGACACAGGCTCCACCCAACCAGGGTGCAACAGAGGCTCCATCTGGGCATCCTGCACCCATCTACTTGGCATCCTCTGTGCCAAACACCGTTACAACCACCCCAGCTACTACTGTCACCCAGTCTGGTATGGGAGACCATCTGCCTCATGCTCCACCACCAGAGGCTCAGATAGTCCCCACTCTATTCTTATCCTCCGGTGGGATACAGCCCCAGTGGTTTTGTGGGGACAGTGATCCAGTCCCTGCTTGGAGCCAGGCCCCTCCTGAAGCCTCGCGCAGGCCCAACAGTGTCTATGAGAACTTCCAGCGCTGGAAGCTTTTGAAGGCTCTGACCCGGAGGTACCTTCCCAGGACTCCTGACACTGAAGTCCTTTCCTGCTTCCTCATGTGAGTCTTTCAGTGGTCATCGGGTTCATGGAGCTTCCAAGGAGGGGACTGGGGTGACCCCCAGGGTAGGGTCCATGGGACAGATGTTCTCAGGGATGCCATCCCGGGATTCTGGCTCAGGAGCCCGTAGTGACCAGCCATGTCCGAAAGCCTCACCTCAGTCATCTCATCAGGGTTGGTCCTGATATGTGGTCTGAGGGACAGACATTCTGTTCCTAAGACCAGACACAGCACAGATGTGCCAGGGTTCAGACAGGCCGTGACTTCTCGGCCTTGGCATCCCATGACATATCCCCAGAGCTGAGGGTATACGCCAGTACAGCCACCAGGGTAGGGTGTGGTATGCGAGGTCCACTCTGGGAGGGGAGACCAGGCCACCATTGGAGGTCAAGGCAGTCAAGGTATGGATGTGGGGCAGTGTGGGCTCCTGGCAGATGCAGACCCTGACCAAGCCTGTCCTTGTAGCCCGGTGTTTCGCACTCTGGCCCGCCTGAAGCCCACCATGAGCCTGGAGGAAGGCCTGCGCCTGGCCCTTCGGGAATGGCGGGGCACGAGCAACTATGACCGCATGATCTACTCCGACATGGCGGCCAAGTGAGTCAGGCCTGGGCAGAGAGTGGGGGTCAGGGTGGCTGCAGGCCCGAGCTTCAGGGGCTGGTCCCAGATGGCCAAGGGGCAGGGAGGGCTAGGCAGCCCCAGGAGACCCTTCCCCTGCAGAAATTTGTTCCTCCCGGAGCCGGGACACTTTTCCCCAGCCCACTCCGGGGCTCCTGACCACAGTCTGAGGGTCACAGTCCCTGACCTGCTGTGACCCTCCAGGGCCAATGTGGGGGATCGCTGGGGGTGCTGGGGTCCGTGTCCACCCCATTCTCTACCCTCCTGGGGACTGGGCCATGAGCATCCCCTGTCCCTTACTCATCCTGCTCAGTCCCGTTCAACCCAACTCATCACGGCCTGTGTTCCCCACACCAGGTTCATGGAGTTCGAGGCCGAGGAGGAGATGGAGGTGCAGAAACTGCAGTGGACGAACGGGGTGCAGGGCCTGCCACTCCCCGCCCCACCCAGGCCTGGGTCTCAGGGGGCTCCAGGCCCACCGCCAGACCAGCAGACAGGTACGGACCCTGCTCCCAGCTAAGGGCCACAGGACCTGGGAAGGCCCTCGTGGGTCTTGACCTGACAGGGAGCCTTCACTCTCCCGATGACCCCCAGACCTGTGGTCAGCGGCCCCCTGTTCACGGGTTTCTCCCTCTCCTAGCACATCCCATGCTGCCTCAGGCGTCAGACTCACCTTTGAAGTGGGGTCGGAGACCCTGGGGACACAGTTGGTCCCTCCTCCCATTGAGGGCCACCTCATCCCTCACGCAGCCACTGGATTCCAGGGCCCTGATCCAGCCCACTGGGACCTGTCCCCAACTCTGTGCTCAGTGCTGTGTGTCTGAGGGCATGGACGCGGGGTCCCCTCACATCCCTCTCTTCTTTCTTCCTCCTCAGCCTGTGTCCCCAAGAAGGCCAGACCCCAGGCCCAGGCAGCTCGCCCCAAGACACACAAACCTCAGCAGCCCCCCAAGTCCAAGGCCCCCGAGGAGATCCCTCCTGAGGCCGTGCAGGAGTACATGGACATCATGGACGAGCTGCTAAAGGCCCCCGACTCAGTCTGCAGGGCGCCCCTCGGCCAACGGGCAGTGGACAGGGAGGAGCAGCAGGAGGAGCCTGGGACCTACCCTGACCCGGGGCTCTTGAGCTATGTGTACGAGCTGTGCTCCCAGGAGGACTTTGTCACCAAGGTGGGGGATTGGGTGCTGCTGTGGGGTAGGGAGGGTGCAGGGCTGCTTCTATCCAGGGCATGGCAGTGATGTGCAGTCTTTGCTTTGAGCTCTCTGTGTAAATGCACACCTGTGTTTGCATATTTCTGCTTGTGTTTGTACGCATGTGTGCACATGTCTCTCTCTGTACACAAGCAGTGGCCCTTGTTTGTGCATTTCTGAGTTTGGTCAATGTGTGAATATCTCTGTGTGTCTACATTTGTGTGTAATGTGTGGGCGCAGTGCAGACATGTGCAGAATCATGTACACGTACCTAGAGGTGGAAGAGAGTGTATCATTTGTATCAGGTGTGTGCTTGAATCCATTTGTGCTCACATGTGCTACTCTGTGAGAGTAGGTACATAGTTCGTGTCCCTTTGTGAGTGCGGGTGTGTACATGTCTGTGTGTGTGTGTGTGTGTGTGTGTGTGTGTGTGTGAGCGTTCCCGGCTTGTGTCTGTGTGAGACTGTGCAGCCGTCCAAGCCTGTGCAGCCGTCTAAGCCCCTGAACTGTGCTGGGGACAGGAGTGTTTGCTTCCTCATTCCCTCCTGTTCCCTATGAGGACCCTCACCCCTGCTTCCCTCTCCCAGGTTGAGGCGATCCTTCATCCCAGCTTCCTGGAGCTCCTGCTCTGCCCAGAGTCCCAGCTGGATCTCCTGGACCTGGCTGAGGAGCTGGAGAAGGAGGAAGGACTCACCCCCACACAGGTGAGGGCAAGTGGACCTCTGCAGGTTTGTGTCAGGGACCGGGGCGTTCAGGTAAGGAGGTGAGCAAGGACCCTGGGCAAACAAAAAGGAGTTTTCTGGGTTGGTTCGGGGAAGGAGACTCTACGGGTTAGACGGTGACTAAGCCTGGGAACTCCGATAAGTGGGGCTGCATGGGTCAAGGAGGGGCGCCCCAGAAGCGAGTCCCAGCAAGTGCGATGCCCCCCATGCCCCCTTCATGTGAGGCTTCAGGGAGAAGAGGACATGAATACTGGGTGAAGTGAGGATGATGGAGAGTGAGAAGGCTCTAAGGGAGCCACAGAGCTCAAGCATCTTCTGCTGAGAGGAGTAGGAGTCACTCTCTGTCCCACCCTGCACCCCCACATGCCCACACTGTCCCTTCTCCCCCCAGATTGTGGACAAGCGTCTGCAGGCCTCAAAGGCTAAGGAGGTCATGAAGGCTTGTCCCCAACACCAGGTGACAATAAAAGACTCCTGCCCCCCTGAGACTGACTCTGGACATGCCTCATGGCCTGGGCAGGCCGAGGCCACTGTGATGGCACCTGGAGCCTCTGCCCCCTCTCTGGGGAGACTGCAGTCCCCACCCCTGCAGGCAGGACCAGCGCCCTGTCCCAGCCTCACTGCCCCCACTCTGGACAGCAGGCCTCCCCGTATGCTGGGAGAGGTCCCTTCTGGCCGGGGGTCGCTTGGGGCAGCAGAGGGCTCCAGTGAGGAGAAAGAGAAACTGACCAGCCAGGTCTTCCTCCAAGCCTCTCACAACAGCCTGCTGCCCTGGGGCTTACCCAAGAGCCCTGGCCCTGACACTGGCCCTGACACTGGCCCCCACCTGCCTGGACGTCAGGGGTATCCCGAGCTTCCATCCACTCGCACAAGGGCCTTCAAGTCTAAGGCCCCTACCAGGAAGCATCCTGTGTGTGGGGGCCCAAGGCGGGGCACTGCTAAGAAGACCCACTGTCCCAGGGAGCACCCCACGGTGTCTAGTGGCTCAGCTTTGACTGAGAAGCTGGAGGGCCCCTCCCTGCCCCCCAAGAGAAAGTTCCAGCCTGCCATGGCCCAGAGGAGGGGGAGGGGGCACAAGAGACAGTAGGATATCGGGGGGCTCCTCCTGACCACCTCCCAGGGTCTGGCTGCACCCAGAAGCCTTGTGTTCCCCATGATCTTCAGCTAAGACTGCTCTGGAATGGGGGGGGGGACTGTACCTAGAATGGGGGGTTTGACTGGAGCAGCCTCTTTGTGTCATTGTGTAAATAGTGAATAAAATTCAGTTCATTGGAAACATTTCAGTGTCTGTCCTCTCACTTGTGCTCCTTGGGAGGCCTGAGAGCACAAAGGGTGAGGGGAATCACAGGGGAGGGGGGAACCCTGAGAGTACTGTGCTCCCTGGACAGTGGAGGAGTCCTTCCCATCTGGAGGAAGATGTGCTCAGTCACCTGCAGGCCCACACCATCCTGAGGGCATAGACAAGGCTCACATCTTGCTGCATTAGCCTGCACCAAATAAAAAATTAAAGCTCATTGGGTATTTGCATATCATATTCTTCACTCACATAAAATGTACAATGCTTTGATTTGACATCATAGAATTTAAATGTTTTTGTAACCAGACATATTTGAACATTTGCCATCACTCTTAAAAAAATATGTGGGAGGGATAGTACAGCAGATATGTCACTTGCCTTGCCCATAGCCAATTCCCAGCACCCCATATAGCCCCCACACTGTGATAAATGAGTCTGTTCCGAGATCCAGGAGTAAGATGTGAGTATACCAGGTGTACCCCCAAAACCAAATAATCATATAATAATAATAAAGGGGGCCGATTTAATGTACTGATTTAATTGTTAAGTGTTTTACCATTTAAATATGGTCCTGGTACCTGTAGAGAAGGTGTTTGAGAACCATTCTTCATTTTCAGTGACAAGATATTTGAAACTCAGGACCTTAGAGATTCTCAGGGAATTAGACTACTAGTTTTTAAAAACTAGTTACAACTCTAATTATTGAGAAACAGTAGGAAAACAACTCTTCAGTGTTAAACATTTTAATTCTCTGCACTTATCACTATTAACGGGCTGGAGCAATAGCACAGTGGGTAAGGCGTTTACCTTGTAGGCGGCCAACATGGCTGACCCGGGTTCGATTCCTCCGCCCCTCTCGGAGAACCCAGCAAGCTACCAAGAGAATCTCGCCCACTGGGCAAAGCCTAGTAAGCTCCCCATGACGTATTCAATATGCCGAAAACAGTAACAACAAGTCTCACAATTTGTTGTGAGACATTACTGGTGCCCGCTTGAGGGAATCGATGAACAACGGGAGGACAGTGCTACTTTTAATGAGGGCTGGAGCAATAGCACAGCGGGTAGGGTGTTTGCCTTGCATACAGCCGACCCAGGTTCGATTCCTCCGCCCCTAGTAGAGACCGGCAAGCTACCGAGAGTATTTCGCCCACATGGCAGAGCCTGGCAAGCTCCCCGTGGCATATTCGATATGCCAAACACAGTAACAATAAGTCTCACATTTGTTGTGAGACATTACTGGTGTCTGCTCATGCAAATTGATGAACAACGGGAGGACAGTGCTACGGTGCTATTACTAATGAAAAGTTAAGCATAAAATGTGTTTCTTAAAATATTTAGTGAATCTGAATTCACGTAAAATTACATTGCAGAGAGGGAAGGGACGAACTAGAAATTACAAAAAGGCAGTGGCAGAGGTGTTTGGACACGTTAGTGGGGATGAAAGTGAATAACATGCACCCCCCAAACAGAATTATTAAAACAATTTGGGGGCAGTTGGGTCACACCCAGAAGTGCTCAGGCTCCTCATGGCTCTGTACTGAGGAGTCACTCTTTGTTTCTGTTTGTTTATTTGTTTGTTTTCTGTTTTAAGGAGAGGAAGCTTTTTGGGTCTCACACGGCCATGCACAGGGGTTACTCCTGGCTCTGCACTCAGGAATCACTCCTGGTGGTGCTCAGGTGACCATACGAAATTCTGGGAATCGAACCCGGGTTGGCAAATGCCCTACCCGCTGTGCTATTGCTCCAGCCCCGCTGAGGAGTCACTCTTGACTGCTCCAGTGAACATACGCTGTCCCGGGGACCAAACTTGTGAGCTTACCCTGCACTGCTGCTAAACCCTGGCAGACGTCTGGGGCCTCCTGGGGCCTTATTGCCTCAGAAGGTGCCCGTCTGCTGGTCCATACAGGACTGCCCCTCTGTGGGTGCTGCGCCTGGGCAGAGGCCGGGGCACCTCGGCTGTGCTCCCCTGGAAGGCTATGTTGGCTGCTGGGCCTGCAGGAGGACAGGACACCCCCCTGAAAGTGGTTCTGGGCTGGGCGTGTGTCTGGCAGCACATGGCCTTTGCGCCCCTCAGTACGCATGTGCAGCCATTGGGCTGGTTTCAGGGTCTCTCTTGGGGTTGGTGGGGGGGGGGTCTTCCCAAGGAATGCTCAGGAGGTCTGGGGGCACCATGAGGGATTCTTTATATTTTTAAAACATTCGGTACCATGATTTCTAATGCTACTGCGATAGGGTTTCATGGACAGAGTGTCTCTCCACCACACCAGCACCAGAGTGCCCACCGCCCTCTGCTACAGTGATGGAGGTCCATGAACACAGTGTCCTACACACCAGCACCAGAGCACCCACTGCCCACTACCCACTGCTACAGTGATAGGGGACCATGGACACAGTGTCCTACACACCAGCACCAGAGCACCCACTGCCCACTACCCACTGCTACAGTAATAGGGGACCATGGACACAGTGTCCAACACACCAGCACAAGAGCGCCTGTCTGTCTGTCTGTCTGTCTGTCTCCCCCCCACCCCCTCTCACTTCCCTTTTAGGCAGTGTGGTTTGCAATACTGTTACTGAAAGGGTATCATGAGTATCCCTTTACCTCCTTTCAGCACTGCCCACTGCTACAGTGGTAGGGGTCCATGGACACAGTGTCCCTTCACCACACCAGCACCAGAGTGCCCACTGCCCTCCCCAGCCATGGCTCCAGTCCCCTCTCCCCCAGACCATCTTCCCCTGCCACCCAGGAAACTCCACTCTCTAAACTCTTCCTTAGTTTTTATTGTCTCTGGCATTTATTATTTCCTTATTACAACTCTTTATATGCCACATCTGAGGGATAGATCTATGCACACCTATGTAAACTTCATCACTGGCATTTCTTGGCCAATTCAATGGCAATTCAGTGGCAGGGTGCCTCCAGGGCTGCACCCAATGATGCATGCTGAACATGCTCCCAAACAGCTCTAAGAGCTCCCAGACCCATGGAGGTCAGTTCTTTCAAAGGGGTGATTAACAGGAAAGAGATCACTGATATATACCCAAACCCAACAGGACTGGTGTCCTGATGAGAAGAGACACGGACTCACACAGAGGCACCCACACATGAAGTGGAGAGGCCTTGGGTGCGATCAGCCCTGCTGCCCCTGCATCTCAGACCTCCAGGTTCCAGAGATGTTTCCATCATTTGCGTTATGGGCCTGTCCTATTGTTTCTGAGAGAGGGCAGAGATTGATCATCATCTGGGAAGATATGCTCACCTTCGACACAGGGGAGAGTCTACCAACGTGGACACAGACAACTCTTTTAGCAGGTGCCAGTGGCCTCAGTGGCCTGCCCTCCTGCCAGTCAGCCTTCCTGCCAGACCTCTTTCCTTGACCAGGGGTTCAGATGACCAGTCCACAGGAAGGGACATGCACCAATTTCAGAGCAAGGTGAGCCTTTATTTGGTTTTGCTTTATTTTTTCCAGGCTTGGGTTTGGGATCATAACAGATGGACAGAACCACAGAGATGGTGGCAAGTGTGAGGCTCCAGTAAGAATGCTGAGGACTGGGGCAAAGAGCAGGGACAGAATGTTCTTCGGTCACTGCAGGTCCTGCCACAGGGCCTTAAGCACTAAAAGCAACAGTAGCCAGAGCTGTAGAGGTCTGAGGGTTAATATCGATGAGCTGGAAACTGGCTAGGATTCATATAGAAATGGGACCTCAGGAGGAGCAGACAAGGAAACAGGAAGAGGCACAAGTCTCTGGATCTGGACGATCCACTTGATGAAATGGGCAACACTGGTGAAGACACTGAGGGATATGGGACGCTGGCAGACCAGACCCCAACTGGCCAACCCCAGAAGAACCCAACTCTTGGAGAAGTTAAAGACCAGAAGGCCTCCAGAATCACCCTAAAAAAAGAGAGGGCAATCAGTGTGGACAATTGAGGTGGGGCTCAGAATTCTAATTATAAGGGCAGGTTATTGGGCACGGCTGTTTGGGTGTTTTCAGTGGTCCCCTGGGATGATCCTGATGCCAGTGTCCTAATATAGTTCTAGTGTCAGGGGTCAGAACTACCATCCTGCACTAGGAAGCTCCAAATTGATCCTTGGGACAGTCACAGATGGAAATCTATCAATCATGCAGTTAAACTTGGCCACTGGCCAAGGACCTTG